AATTATAAATACATCGATTTCAACATGTTTACAAACTTTATAGTTAATAATTTATGCAAATAAATGTTTTTAAATCTTCATAGTATATACATGTATGTAAATATACAAAACTAGCCTGACAAAATAAATGCAAAAAAAAATTACTTGTTTTGAGGAATCTCAGCAACTTTTTATTTCATTTTCATAAGTTATTCACTACAAAGAGGTTGGTATGTGGCACAGTGAGCTAAGCTGCTGCCTGTACCACTGGTGTCCTATTTGGGAGTGCCAGTTCTCCCAGCTGCTCCACTTCCAATCCAGCTCCCTGGTAATGTATGTGCCTGAGAAGACAGCAGAAGATGGTCCAAGTGCTTGGGCCCCTGTCACCCACATGCGAGACCTGGATGGGTTCTAGGTTCCTGACTTCAGCCTGGGTCGGCCCTGGCAGTTGCAGCCATTCGGGAAGTGAACCAGCAGATGGAAGTTATATCTCCTCTGTATCTCTCTGCCTTTCAAATAAACAAATAACTAACTAAACAAATAAGTCTCTTTAGGGAAAGTGGGTAAAAGAGGCTGGGAGGGTAGGAAAGATGCACTGAGTCATAATGCCCGTTTATGGGGAGAAAAAAGGTGACTAAGAATAATATCATTTTTCATTATTTTTCTTTTAGTTTCTCTAGATCAGCACTGCCTAAGAGAACTTTCTGTAATGATATAAAGTTCTAAATTTGCTTTGTCTATTATGATAGTACTAGCCACATGTGGGTTAGAAACACTTAAAATGTGACTAGTGCAACTAAGGAACTGAATTATATTTAGTTTTTTTTTTTTTAAAGATATATTTATTTGAAAGTCAGAGTTACATAGAGAGAGGAGAGGTAGAGAGAGAGAGAGGTCTTCCTTCCAATGGTTCACTCCCCAGGTGGCCGCAATGGCCGGAGTTGTGCTGATCCGAAGCCAGGAGACAGGAGCTTCTTCCGGGTCTCCCACACAGGTGCAGGGGCCCAAGTACTTGAGCCATCTTCCACTGCTTTCCCAGGCCATAGCAGAGAGCTGCATTGGAAAAGGAGCAGCCAAGACTAGAACCAGCGCCCATATGGGTTGTCGGTGCTTCAGGTCAAGGCGTTAATCCACTGCACCACAGCACCAGCCCCTGTAATTAGTTTTAATAATGGAAACAGATATGTCTAGTAGCTATCATAATGGATAGTATAGCTTTATATTATCTGTTTATATGATTCACTGTAAATAAAAATAAGGAAATGAAAAATAATATATTTTTGATTAAGGAAGAAATTAAAACCAGACTTCAATGTCAAGTTGGTTAGAGACAGCACATTCCTTAAGGTTTTAACCAGTGATAAAGACAGGATACTCAGTTATGACTACTTAGTTTGAAGGAGGCAAAAAAACATAAAATTTAAAAAATGTTCCTGAGAGCACTGGTATGTTCCAAAATTGTTTTCTTGCTTCAAATTAGTAAATTTGAGGGAAAAAATGGAATGGAGCAAAGTTTCCTAAGAGAACCCAGTCCTGGCAGTCAATAGTTGAGAATGGGGCTCTATCATTTGTGTTCTATGAAGAGCAACTGAAGCTCCAACATATAAATTAGTGACATTAGATGTACTGAGAATTCCTTAGGTAAAGCACAAGACACTATTATGTTACCACATTTTTTTTTTAACTTTTATTTAATGAATATAAATTTCCAAAGTACAGCTTATGGATTACAATGGCTCCCCCCCGCCATAACTTCCCTCCCACCCACAACCCTCCCCTTTCCCTCTCCCTCCTCCCCCCTTCCATTCACATCAAGATTCATTTTCAATTCTCTTTATATACAGAAGATCGTTTAGCATATATTAAGTAAAGATTTCAACAGTTTGCACCCACATAGAAACACAAAGTGAAAAATACTGTTTGAGTACTAGTTATAGCATTAAATCACAATGTACAGCACATTAAGGACAGAGATCCTACATGAGCAGTAAGTACACAGTGACTCCTGTTGTTGACTTAACAAATTGACACTGTTGTTTATGGCATCAGTAATCACCCTAGGCTCTTGTCATGAGTTGCCAAGGCTATGGAAGCCTTTTGAGTTCATCAACTCTGATCATATTTAGACAAGGTCATAGTCAAAGTGGAGGTTCTCTCCTCCCTTCAGAGAAAGGTACCTCCTTCTTTGATGACCTGTTCTTTCCACTGGGATCTCATTCGCGGAGATCTTTCATTTAGGTTTTTTTTTTTTTTTTTTTTTTTTGGCCAGAGTGTTTTGGCTTTCCATGCCTGTAATACTCTCATGGGCTTTTCAGCCAGATCCACGTGCCTTAAGGGCTAGTTGTGAGGCCAGAGTGCTGTTTAGGACATCTGCCATTCTATGGGTCTGCTGTGTATCTCGCTTCCCATGTTGGATCGTTGTCTCCCTTTTTTATTCTATCAGCTAGTATCTGCAGACACTAGTCTTGTTTATGTGCTCCCTTTGGCTCTTAGTCCTATCATTATGATCAATTGTGAACTGAAAAGTGATCCCTGTTAGGAATTTGGAAAGCATTATGGTGAGTGAAATAAGCCAGTCCCAAAGGGACAAATACCATATATTCTCCCTGATCGGTGACAACTAACTGAGCACCAAAAAGGAAACCTGTTAAAGTGAAATGAACACTAGGAGAAACGGTGACTTGATCAGCCCTTGCCCTGACTGTTGATGAACAACTTAATATGTCATCCCTCTTAGTATTATTTTTTGTTTGTTCTACTTAATACTTTTGGGTGAATACTGTAATCAATACACAGTTATTCTCAAGTGTTGAAACTTAACTGAAAATTGATCGCTGTTAAATATAAGAGTGGGAATAAGAGAGGGAAGAGATGCAATTCGGGACATGCTCAAGCTGACTTACCTCAAACGGTAGAGTTAGAAACATACCAGGGGATTCCAATTCAATCCCATCAAGGTGGCATGTACCAATGCCATCTCACTAGTCCCGTGATCAATTTCTGTTACCACATTCTTAATAAAAATGCATGATTTTATTTATCTGGCAGCCTTGTTTTCATCTTATATAATAAATTTTTTACCATTTTAAAAATATTTCTTTATATATTTTAACATCGAAGTTACAGAAAGACGGAGAGACAGAGAGAGAAAGAAAATCTTCCATCCACTGGTTCACTCCCCAGATGGCCACAATGTCCAGGGCTGAGCCAGGCCGAAGCCAAGAGCCAGAAGCCTTATGTGGGTTCCCACATGGTGACAGGGACCCAACACTTGGGCCATCCTCCACAGCTTTTCCCAGGCCATTGGCAGCGAGCTGGATTGGAAGTGGAGAAGCTTGGACATGAACTGGCCCCCAAATGAGAAGCCAGCATCACATTTTTTTCTTTGTTATCTGCTATGCCACAATGCTGGTCCTTATGATTAATTTTTAAAAGCATTATGCACTAGTATTAGAGTTCAGCCATTTCTGTAATGCCATTACAGTTTTTTAAGGAGTGGTTTTTCAAGAAACTACTTTATAGATGGGCAAGATCTTGGTGACTTGAAACAATCAAGAAAAAAGCTTATATGAATCAGCACTTAAGGTTCAGATCATCTTATCATCTCAATAAAGAATTCCAACCAAGTGGCAATAAAAACTAGATTTAACAGTTAGGTATAAACCCTATACCAGCAATTTATCATAAAACCAAGACTCCTATTTCATAAAAGTATAACCAAAACCAATTTGATCTTCAGTATAGCTGTCTGAGAAACAAATTATTTGGAAATATCAAAAAATATATACTCACAATCGTATGACTGTGATTGGGAAGTCTGCATAATAAATTCCGTACATCTTACAATCATGTATTTCACTTGTAGGGAAGTAAAAGTAATTTTGGAAACAGTGATTTTTGAAAGAACATATTTCTACAAAGATTTTAAACCTGAACATGATTCTTTAACAATTACAAGAGAAGCTAATAGTAAAATTTAACACAAATGATCCTCCATATTTCTTTGAACCATCTGTTGGTGTCATAACCAAAGAATGAAAAAATTACAAATCATTCAAACCACTCTTTACTAAATGAAGTTAGCTTCAAAATCAGTATGAAATAAATAACCTAAAACACACTACTGATTATTTTCTGCAATATATATGTCCCAGTGTTAAAACCCATTAGGTTTAACACAAAACAGTATAGTAGTCTATTTTCTAAAGGCTATAGAGAAAGGAGAGAAAAAGAATGCAGTAAATAAGACATATTTAATGTTGAAAAAAAAATAACTAGTTATTTTGTCGATAATTTACTAATGAACCTGAAAGGAAATTTAAGGATCATGACAAATTTCATACATATACATTTTGTTAAATATTTCTATCTAATATAATAAAATATTTACATCTGGCATGTCTATTTTATTAAGTAAGTAAAATCAGATCGTCAAGATGTTACACTATGTCAGAGAGCACATCTATTACCGGGATATTCAGGATATATTTAAAAGCATTTGTCTTTGTATGATTTCAGAAGAGGAAATGAGAACTAAAGAGCCATTTAAGAATCCGTTTACCTGGCCGGCGCCGCAGCTCGCTAGGCTAGTCCTCCGCCTGCGGCACCGGCACCCCGGGTTCTAGTCCCAGTTGGGGCGCTGGATTCTGTCCCAGCTGCTCCTCTTTCAATCCAGCTCTCTGCTGTGGCCTGGGAGTGCAGTGGAAGATGGCCCAGGTCCTTGGGCCCTGCACCCGTATGGAGACCAGGAGGAAGCACCTGGCTCCTGGCTTCGGATCGGCACAGCACATCGGCCGCAAGCGGCCACTTGGGGAGTGAACCAATGGGAAAAGGAAGACCTTTCTCTCTGTCTCTCTCTCACTGTCTAACTCTGCCTGTCAAAAAAAATTAAAAAAAAAAAATTTACCAAAAAAAAAAAGAATCCATTTACCAACTTTTTGCATGTCTTAACATAAACATGCATTCATGCACTTCATGATACTTAGGATGTGCTTTTGCTAACTAGATTCTGAATAACTTACCTGCTTTGTTGATTTCTTTGTGCCATTAAAAATCTTCCAAGCTAGCCCATTACCACCACTGGCAATGTGACGACCAACATCAAACTCTCTAGTGACAGGATTTCCCATCACAGCGCTAGTGACATCAGCTGTGACTTTTGTAACAGTACTCTTCAATTTATTAAGCATTGACTCCATGGCTGCAATAGTAGGTGGTTCCAGCTACCTAGAAACACAGAAAAATAGGGAGAACTGATCATTTTTATTTGTATAAACATTTATTCTTAATTTAATTTAAAAAGCTTAATACCCCCAAACAATGATCAAAACAATGCTATATAAAAAAGTTGCATGTTGGTTATGTCTTCAGAGAACCCAACATACTAGAGCACAAAAGTCTAGTAATCCAACTGCTCCTTTTAACCTCAGTTCTTTCAGACCAGGAAGACATATTTGCACTTGACACTGACATGAACAAAGAGAATGAATGTCATTCAACTCCGTAACATTAATCCTTAAAGGTGATTTTAGGGTTTACAACCTCTGAGTAACACTTCACATTAAAAATAACGACATAAAAATCTAAAAGGAAATAATGTTATATACTGAACAATAGATTTGTGTTTATAGAAAGTTTCATTTACTATTAAAATAATAATTATTACACTATGAAATTATTTAAGAATATTTCCTGAGAGAAAAAGATTCCTGGCAAAGGTACAATAAAAGACACACAAGCAGAAGGTCACCTATTATTTTTAATAATTTTACATGTAAATAAATCAATCTTTAATAAAAAATGTTTACATGGGCCAGCACTGTGGCATTAGGGGTTAAGCTACCATCTGCAACACCAGCATCCCATATGGATCCCGCTTAGAGTTCTGGCTGCACCACTTCTGATCCCCCTCCCTGCTAATGCACCTGAGGAAGCAATGAAAGATGGCCCAAGCGCTTGGGCCCCTACACTCACATGGGAGACCTGGATGAAGCTCTTATTTTTTAAAAAATTTTTATTTTTTTAATTTTAATTTTTTGACAGGCAGAGTGGACAGTGAGAGAGAGACAGAGAGAAAGGTCTTCCTTTGCTGTTGGTTCACCCTCCAATGGCCGCTGCGGCCGGCGCACCTTGCTGATCCGAAGGCAGGAGTCAGGTACTTATCCTGGTCTCCCATGTGGGTGCAGGGCCCAAGCATTTGGGCCATCCTCTACTGCACTCCCAGGCCACAGCAGAGAGCTGGCCTGGAAGGGGGGCAACCGGGACAGAATCTGGCGCCCCAACTGGGACTAGAACCGGTGTGCCGGTGCCGCAAGGCGGAGGATTAGCCTATTGAGCCGCGGCGCCGGCTAGATGAAGCTCTTGGCTCCAGGCTTTGGCCTAGCCCAGCCCTGGTTGTTGTGGCCCTTTGGGGAGTGAATCAGCAAATGGAAGATCTCTCTCCCTCTCTCCCTCTCTAATTCTGACTTTCAAATAAATAAAATAAATCTTAAAAATAATATATACATATTTTGTTCTTAATAGTGTTATTAACAATCATTTATTGTTAATTAGTGATTGCTTAATAAACACAATGGTCAGTAACTATTAGTAATAATTAGTAATTGTTAGGTTTGACTTATTATTTGGTGAATTAAAACAGACTCTACTTGTGATGGTATTTGTTTTTTCAAGAAAGCTTTCTTTAAACTAGAGTTTCCTATCTACTGTTATATGAAGACTTCTCAGGGAATATATAGGAGAGGACAGGACAAAGAAAAGGAATGAGGGTAGAGTGGAGAGGAGAATTTAAGTTTAAAAGCAGTGGTTTCTAATCTGGAACCACAGAAAGAACTCAAAGTGTCGCTCCCCGTCTTCGTGGAGGAACGACACAGGACCCTGCACTGTTCTTTTGTCTGCTTGGCCCTCCCCAGGTTTGCTGCTGGTTCTTCCCGGGTTGGCTACCGACCCTTCCACCTCCGTGGAAGGGCGGTTCCCCCTGCCACTTTCCCCACTTCCGCGGGGGAGCGGCACACCGCCGGCCGGCTCTCTCGGGGGCTGCACAGGTGTTCCTCTTAGATGTTCCTCTTAGATGTTCCTCGTGCATGTTGTCTCTCTCCTCCTTTATAGTCCTCTTCCACCAATCCCAACTCTGCTACCCACACGCCGAGTACGCTGCTCTCCTCCAATCAGGAGTAGGTCCTACAGTTTATTGGTTGAACTGGAGGCAGCTGTGTAGAAGCTGTTTTTCCCTTCTCAGCGCCATATTGTGGGAGAGCAGATGCATAGAATAAGTCTTAATTCCAGTAACTTAGTCTAGTCCGAGTTGCTCCTCACATCAAAGAATTAAAATTAGGCTTTTCAGGCTCCACACTAGATTTGGTTATTTAATATATTAAGCAAATATACTACTGTAACATATTGATAAAAGTATTTTTTAAATTATTTGAAAATAACTGGTTTCCTTTCAAATCATACATATTTTAATTAGGAATTCAAGAATGTTATTCTCTAAGTTTTGGCCATGATGGATGAAAAAAAGTCTGAATTATTTTTTGCCTTAGGAAAATAAAAAATTGAAGAAAATATATTAAACAAATGTTTTCACATGTTAAGTATGCAGCAAGATCCTGGGAGGCCAGCGAGAAAGAAAACTAACAGGGTAAACCCTAGGCTTGTCCTAGCTTTCTGCCTAGAGGCCCATTCTAAGCCATGAGCAAAGAGCAGAACCCAAGGAGCCATCTAGCTGAGTTGAGAGGCTGAGAACATAAACCGGAATTCAAGGATGCCGAGGTTGCCAGACACCGAAAGACAGAATTTTGAAGTGAAGGAGGCCACGCTGAAAAAGAGCCTAGGAGTATCCTTCACATTTGGTTAAGTGCTAAGATGTACATAGCAGGCATGGACCCACTAGAGAGCTATGCACTGAACAGTTTCAGACTTCAGGTCTGCAAAACCACTCACTATCTCATCAGCCAGAGTATTCACTGATCACTAAGGCATTCAGCAGAAACTCTAGAAGGAGTGTGACTTAGTAGTAAACCATCCTTAGAGTAAGCTCATCTAAACCTGCTCTAACAAGGTGAAAACAATCCTCAAATGACCTAATTTATTGTAAACTGTTAACCTGCCTCCCAGAACAAAACTCAACATTCATGAAAGGAACACATACACAGGTACACATGCACACATATTAAATACCAAGCAATGTAACATTCAATGTTCAGCATGTAATCATCAAAAATGCCAAGGAGAAAATGTGACTTACAATAAAATACAAAAATCGGTCAATAAAAACAGACTTAAAATGACAGATTACAGGAGCAGGCATTGGACACAGCAGTTAGGTACACCTCTTGGGATACCCACATCCCCGTAGGAACATCTGGTTTGAGTCCCAGCTCCTTAACTTCCAATCCAGTTTCCTGCTCAAGCACACCCTAGCAGACAGATGATGGTTCAAGTACTTCTCTCTCTGCTACCACGTGGCAGACCAGAATAGAGTTCCAGGCTCCTGGCTTCAAAGCCTGGCCCAGCCCTAGCTGATGCAGACAGAAGAGCTTTCTCTGTTTCTCTGTCTCTGTATTTCAAATAAAGTTAGACACAAATTTAAAACAATAGATTACAGAATTAGCACAGAACAACATTAAAATGCTAACAAAGGCCCAAGTTTTTAGAGGAAACTATGAACACTATGAAAGAAAATGGAACACAATAAAAGATCCAAATAAAAATTTGAGAAATTAAAAATAATATATACGTAATAAACTTAGCAAATATGAACAGAATACAGTATAGGGTGACAAAAGATTAGTGAAACCTGAAGACAGAGTAAGAGGTTGAAAAGATGAATACAGACTTAGTAATATGTAGGGCAATATTACAAGAGTAACAATATATACAGATCCCCAGAATGAGCCCAGACCTGGTCACTGTGGCCCTTGGGGAGTGAACCAGTGGATGAAAGATGCTTCTCTGTCTCGCCCTCTCTGTAACTCTGCCTTTCAAATAAATCTTCCCCTCCCTGCAAATTTTCTTTTTTAATTTCCCCAGACTTCACATCAGAGACTATGTATGGCAGAGAACAAATGAATGATTTCTTTAAAGTGTTAACAGAAACTGTCAGAATTTGGTAGGTGGGGAGAAAAAAATCTTTCAAAAATCAAAGTGAAATAAAGGTTTTTTCAGAAAAACAAAATCTGAGAGAATGTGTTACCAACAGACAATCACTTCAAGAAATATTAAAGACAGTTCTTTTTTTAAAAAAAGACTTACTTATTTATTTGAAAGGCAGACTTACAAAGAGAGGAAAGACAAGAGTTCTTTCATCCACTGGTTCACTCCCCAAATGGCTGCAATGGCCACGGTTGGGCCAGGCTGAAGCCAGGAGCCTGGAACTCCAATCAGATCTCCCATAGGAGTGGCAGGGATCCAAGCACTTGGGCCATCTTCTGCTGCTTTCTCAGGGGCATTAGCATAGAGCTGGATTGGAAATGGAGCAGCCAGGACTTGAACCAGCACCCATATGGGATGCTGGCATTGCAGGCAGTGGATTAATCCACCGCACCACAACATTGGTCCCAAAGTTCTTCAAGCAGAAAGAAAAGGGTGGAAACTTGGATCTAGAAAGAAACAAAGGCTCTTGGAAAGAAAACTTACACGGATATATAAGAGGATTTCTCATAATATTTTTAAGATAGCTGGCAGGGTTGGCATTGTGGCACAGAGGGTTAACTGCCACTTGCAATGTTGGCACTTGATATCGGAGTGCCAGTTGCAGCTGATCTGCTTCCAATCCAGCTCCCTGCTAAGGGGCCAGGGAAGGCAGTGAAAGATGGCCCAAATGCTTGGGTCCCTGCACCCCAAGTGGAAGAATGGGATGGAGTTTCAGGCTCCTGGCTTCTGCTTGGCCCAGACCTGGCTGATGTAAACATATGGGGAGTGAACCAGTGGATGGAATATGTCTCTCTTCCTGTCTGGCACTCTGTGTTTTAAATAAATAAATAAACATTTTTAAATATTAAAAGATAGCTGATTGGGGCCAGCGCTGTAGCACAGCAGGTTAATGCCCTGGCCTGAAGCACCAGCATCCCACATGGGCGCTGGTTCTAGTCCCGGCTGCTCCTCTTCCGATCCAGCTCTCTGCTATGGCCTGGGATAGCAGTAGAAGATGGCCCAAGACCTTGGGCCCCTGCACCTGTGTGGGAGACCCGGAGGAAGCTCCTGGCTCCTGGCTTTGGATCGGCACA